AAAGACTGCGAGAGTGAGAGCAAGGACAGTTGTGTTTCCAATGGATCCTAGCAACACAAAGCGGCGGCGGAGTGGTGGGAGAGTGCAAGAAGAGAGAGCGCGTGCGGAATGTGTGCAGAGAGCAGCGATCACTCTCTCGCGCTCGCTCTCTCTGCCTGACCCACTGTAGAACTTTCTGTACATTGAACTTTTGCCTCAACGTGCGAAAGCGAGAGATGGAGCGAAAGGAAGGGATTGTGGCAGGGGGTGTCTGATGTCTGGTATCTGCCCTGCTGTTGGTTGTTGGATTAGGTGCGATTTATGCACTCACTTCCATTCCATTCCATTCAAAGTTCCCATGAAAGAAACGCCAGCGGGCTGGAATGACTATTTGCTCATACAAATAAACGAGTCGAGTGGTAGGCCTGAAAGCGGTTCAGACTTATCTAATCAAAGTTGTAAAAGAAAAAAACACAAATAAATAGGAACATCCCCCCCCAAAACGACACCAAAGCTGCTCACAGTTCACTCTCCACCAACTACGGGCATACGCGCCAAAACGGTGCCACGAGTTAATCTGCTGTTTGCCGCCTAATCTAATCAGAAGCAGAAACAGAAACAGAAACAGCACCAATTACAAATCGAAACGAAAAAGGGCTGCAGCTAACACTAATAATAATAAAAATACGAAATACAAAATACAAATAGAAAAGTAGAACAAAGGTGAGACGGGAAATGGACGGGAAGGAAACATTTAAATACGCTTTCAAATTGTTTCAACTTTGGACGATTTGAGCGGAGTTCCGATATGAGAAACTTATATTCGTTTTGAATTTACTTCATTCGGGGATGGTGAAACAGAAAGTTGTGAGGTCCCACCGCTGTGTCTGAACGTGACATTGGTCAGCACAGAACCACACAAGAACCCACTGAGACACTGAGACACTGAGAAGTGCGCGTTGCGTTATCAATCAATAGACTGTGACATCCACTCAATGCGGAAGAAAAGGGAGCCAAAGCGAGGGAAAGAGAGATAGAGAGAGAGAGAGAGAGAGCGGGAGTCTTATCTTGCTTAAGAAACTAGATTGAAGCGTTCCATTTCTTGGTTCCTTTTGGTTTCTATGGATGTTTGTACTGCGGCTAAGCCAGCCAGACGCACCCCTGAGGATAGCAGCGGCACTGACTGTGAGAATTTCAACAAATGTGACCTGTCGCACGAGGGGCAGTGACTCAGTAACTGCTTGCTTGAGATCTCTATGCGATCTGACAATTAGCTGGCATTAATATGATGCCGTCAGTTGATTAATTAGCTTTCCATTCATTAGGAGGATATTTCCACTCTTACACCCCTGCCCTGCACCAGCCAGTGCTCTCCCCCCCCCCCCCCCCCCCCCCCCCCCCCCCCCCCCCCCTCTCTCGCCTGTCCACAAAACAACAACAACAAAAACTACAGCCGAAGGTGATTTCATAATGAGGCTCGTCGCGGCACACTCTCTGTCTGCCTCTCTCCCTCCCCAGACTGTCTCTTTTGTTATTGCTTTTTGCATTCTCCTTTGGGGCTTTGGGGCCGCTGCACTTTTTGTATTGTTGCAAAAATAGACATTGCCTACGTCGAACGTCGATGCAGCGACTGACGCTGACGCTGACGCTGCCGCTGACGCTGCTGCCTCTGCCGCTGCCGCTGTCGTTTGTCTAATTAGACCTGGCAACGGCTTTTCTCTTTTCTTTTTCGTATTCGTATTCGTATTCGTTTTTCTGTTATTTTCGTTTTCTTTAATTACCTTTCATTACGTAGTATGTGCAATTTATTGGCGTTTTTTGTTGTTGTTTTTGTTTCTCTGTTGTTGCCGCTTCCCCCCGCACGGCCATGGCAGGCGCCCCCTAGCGGTGGCGGTCGATGGCTGCACTTGCCCAATGCGCTTTACCGTTGGGATAGGTCGCGGAGCGGCAAACGCAGTTCACTCACCACTACCGTTACCTACACCACCTACTCCCAGGCGGAGATCAGGCGATCTCCTGCACAAACAACGAAGCCGATTCGGAACTCGTTGTTGCACGTTTCGGAAGGAGGAAAAAACTTCAAATTGATTTACAATTCCCCAAATATGCGTGTACAATCTTCAAATTAAATTCAATTTTCCACACAATTCCCGAAAAGTTTGCTCCCGAAAAAAAAAACAGAAAAACGAAAGAAAAGTTCCCTTCAAATATTTAAAATAGAAATTCAAGAACTTTCGGCCCAAAAGTTTTCCAAACTACAAAACTACAAAATAGTTTTCTCAGCAACAAAAATGCCAACAATTTGGGTTGGGTGGTTGAAACTTTTCTTGAAACGAACAAATTCTAAAGCTCATAAGGGGGCGGGGCTAGAAATGGAGGTCCGGTTCTATTTGCTGGGTCGAATGTCCTACGTGTCCCCTGCTGGGTTCATTCATATGTCGATAATGAAGGAAACAACTCATTTCCACCCAAACGATATACAATTATGGTTGGGTGGCCGCCTGTTCTGTCATTCGGCTAACCTCTGGCTGTAATTATTTAAACATCAAATACCATTGCGGGGGGGGGGGGGGGCAGACCTTCGTTATGGTTCAAGGGCATTGGCCGACTTCTTTGGTACAACGAAAATACCCAAATTGAGGGCAAGTTTTGATCTCAGATAGAGCTCCTGGGTCTCGCGGTCTCTCCTTCAATTACCTGCATTTATTTTTGTATTTTCCCGTGCCGCGTGAGTGGTGGGTGCCGGCCCGAAATAGGAAAACATTTACAGTTACAATTACTGCTGGGCCGGTGGGAGTGAAATGGCAATGACACACACACACACACACACACACACAGTGGTTGAGGCCCCAGGCAGGCACAAAATATAACTGTTCATATGCCGGGTCGATAAACAAAACAGCAGCAACAAAAATTGACTGAGGCAGCAGCGACGCTGGCGGCGACGCTGGCGACTGAACTGATTTGCTTTCATCTGCCAACTGCACTTTTTGCACTCGCTCACTCCACCGACCGACCGACCGACCGACCGACCGACCGAAGTCGACCCGTACCCGGACCCACGCTCTATGCTTTGCTCTTTCTCCTTCCTTTATGTTCCCCTCGCTCAGCGCAGCTGATAGCGAGCGTCGCTGTCGCTGTCGCTGTCGCGTTCGACTCATTAAATATTTTGCAACCTTGACCGTTCGAAAGCGATTAAAAGTGTGATGCATTTCTGCATTTCTGCATTTGTGTGTGTGTGTGTGTGTGAGTATGAAAAAAGCTTTCCATGTGTGTTTGTGTGAAATGTTTATACAAGTGGAGAAAGCAGAGTAAAGGCGAGAGAGTCGATTACCGATTTGGGGTGGGGAATTCTCGGGAATTTCTAAAGTCTGATATTGCTGCTGCTAACAACCAAACCGAAACAAATTGTTTATTTTTCTTTGAATATTATTTTTAAACATTTTGCAGTGCCCCCAACGAGTGGATGGGATTGATGGATGGGGCCTCCTCACATTTCTAGAATAATAAACTTGAATTGCTCGCATGGGGGAGTCATCCCTGCGTGGATGTACTCGCATTTCTGTTGATTAATGCAGAAAGAGGATCGAAGCCAAAGCAAAAGCAAAAGGAACCACAGAGAGTGCAATCAAAGTTCAATTAGTCTAAGGCATCTCTCTCCACAATATAATACGAACGGAACGATTCGAATCAATTTTTGATTGAAATGGGAACGGACAATGAACGGACACCCTCGATGCCTTCCATTTCTATTATGTGTAAACTTCTTTAAATTGAAATATCGATTTTCAGACGAGAAACTCTTTTTCCTGCCATGCAGTGGGAAGGAAAAGCAGAGAGCAGCAAATCAGATAATGAAGCAAACACAGGAAGGAAGTGGGTGGCAACCACTGGCAGGAAATGGCAGGATGATGAGAACGAAATTGAAAACAAGAGTGGCAACTGTACTTGTAAAACTCGTGAGAGTGAGACTCGTCTAGAGTTTACACTCCAATTGGAAAGGATTTCACTGGTCGATCACTGAACACGGAATAGAATGAAAGATTTTCTTGGGTTTCCTGCTTCAATATTGTTGATTAGAAGACGGATCTGAACCCTCTCCGTTTATTCCGCCTATCATTTGCTGCACACAGCTTTAAGTGTAGATCTTTGAGAGATTCAACTGGATATACCCGTTGCTCTCCTCTCTCCTCACCCTCATCTCTCCCACTCTTTCTGTTGCCACTTGTTTTGTGGTCATCTGTCTGTTGTCTGTCGGACATCTTTGCTGTCTCTAATTGCTGTCATTCAAGACGGTAGAGTGGAAAGGGTCAAAGAAGGAGAAGGAGAAGGAGAAAGAACGGGAACTGGACCAGCAGCAGCGGCAGCCTATCCTTACGGTTATCGTTGTGGCAGGTCAATAGTGTCAAATTACGGTATAATTACGATTCTCTCTCTCCCGCACTTACCCCTAACACCCCCCTCCACCCAACCAACACTCTCTTTTCATGTTCTTCTCAAGTGCTTTGGCACCTCTCTGGCTCTCTCGCTCTTGTCTCTTAACCACAGAACAAACAACACCAACAATCATCATCATTATCTTTCCTCTTTGCTTTCTCCCTTCCACTCCATCATGTTCGTTGTTATTGCTGTTGTTGTTTGTGTTACGTTTTCCGCATGGCAAATCTTTGGCCATCCATTCATCTATCCATCCATCTCTTTGTACGGAAAGGGAACAAACTTCCAACTTTGAACTTAAAATATATTTCTGTTTTACCTAGAGCGGGTTGTAGTTCTAGGGGTCTGTCTGGTGCTGGCAGCTTAATTCTGGAATAGGAAACGGCGGGGATCTGAGTGGACAAGGGAGTGCCTTGCCTGCTAGCTTATCGCAAAAGCTGCTCTCAGAGAGAGAGACAGAGAGAGAGAGAGAGAGAGTGCAAGCCGGAAATGAGCTCTGGCTGCGGAAATACGGAATAAGGCGAGGGGGATGGCAGGGGCATGGCATGGCATAATTGTTGCATAATAGTTGTTGCTCTTCTCACCTGTGAATCGATGATGCACCGGCTGGCAGACGCTGCTGATACGCGGACATATTGGCAGCCTGCTGCTGTTGTTGTTGTTGTTGTTGTTGTTGCTGCTGTTGTTGTTGGTGTTGCTGCTTTTGGTGTTGTTGGTGTTGCTGTTGCACTGCTTTACTTTGTTGCTGCTGCTGTTGATTGGAGGCTGATGATTGATGCAAATGATGGGACGTTGGTCCATTATCATGTTGCTGTTGCTGGTGTTGCAGGCTACTGCTTGCAACACGTTGTTGTTGTTGTTGTTGTTGTTGTTGTTGTTGCTGCTGCTGCTGTTGCTGCTGCTGATGATGATGATGAAGCTGTTGCTGATGCTGGTGGTGTTGCTGCTGCTGCTGCTGTTGGTGCTGTTGGTGTTGCTGCTGTTGATGTTGTTGATGCTGTTGTTGAAGCTGATGTTGGTGTTGTTGGTGTTGCTGGTGCTGCTGCTGTTGTTGCTGCTGCTGCTGTTGGTGTTGCTGCTGCTGCTGCTGCTGTTGATGTTGCTGCTGCTGCTGCTGCTGCTGTGCACCGTTTGTGGTGTTATTTGTGGGCGGCGGAGCACCGACCTGCACTGAAGAGGAGCGTATAGCTGCTTCCATTTCATGCCGAACTCTTTTTTTTGGCTTCAAACACTCTTGTTGTTGTGCTGCTTAAATGGAATTGGTGTTGTTGAACTTGCTGTATCCTATTCCTGCTGTTGTTGAACGATTTCTTCGTGTTGTTGAACGTATTCTTGCTGATGCTGTTGAATTTGTTGTTGTTGTTGTTGTAATTATTTGGGAGCTGCTCATAGCATTGCACTGCCACATTCTCACTCTCCCCAACACACGAACCACACACACAAACTCACTCGCCGCACGCACTCACTGAGACACACACAGAGACAGAGAAAAAACACTATCAAAAAAATTGATGTATCGAAGAAAACTGCACTTTAGACGTTATGTTTGCGGGGATGGTTGCTTTGATTCAATTTTCTCTGTCCTTTTTCAACACTGGAGTGCTTGGTGTCGTTGCAGTTTGTGTGATGCGCGGTCCTGCTGTTGCTCTCGTTGTTTTTTGCTTGGTTGTTGCAACAGGCAACAGCCTCTGCCTAGGCACATGGCTGTGGCACAGGCATCTTGCGCGCCCGTTCTTACTGTTGCTGTCTGCTGTTTTGAGTGTTTTTGTTTTTTTCTCCAACACTGTTGCTTGACTAAGGGATTTCCTCGTTATTTTATGGATACTTTTTGTGGTTAAAGAAATCTTTCTTGCTTTAACTTTTTATATATTTACAGTGTACATTTTACACACACATGCTGCTGCAATGGAAGGGGATGTAAGACGTGTTTAGTGAAAAGCGGCAACGTTGCTCACTCCCTCACTCCCTCACTCTTTTCCTGCTGCTCTTTAGCACACGTTTTTGATTTTTTCACTTGAACAAAAAAAAAATACACACAAATACACACAGTTATTGGCCCAATTTTTAACACATTTTTTCGATTCGGGGGAAAATTAACAAATAATCAAGAAAAAGAGAGAAAAAAAAATGATGCCGAGTGACATGCATTCCATGACACGACCATTTCCGTTGGCGTGTGTGTGTGTGTGTGCATGTTCGTGTTTGATCGTGTCACAAAACGGTAAATAAATCCTACACACGTCGCGAAATACCGCCACACGATCTGGTCCGCACGAACGGACGACAATTTCAACTATTTGCGATTTAAACCCTTTATTTGTTGTACACATTTGTGTGTGTGAATGTGTGTGTGTATTTTTCCATTAATTAACAACTTTTGCACACTCTTTCATTACGCATTTGGATTTTGCTGTCTGCTGTCCTTTTCTCGCTTCATCGTTATCGCACAGCGCCAAAAACAAAACAAAACCAAAAAAAAAACACACACACACACACGCGCACGAAACAAAACAAGTTAACGGCTCCTCCACCTCCAACACACCTCTTTGTCCCACGCCTCAGAGACCTGCAGAGATAGAGAGAGAGAGAGAGAGAGAAAAACAGATTAGTTCGATGCAAAAATAAACACACATTCAATCGATAAAATGTTGATAAGAAATCGATAAGGGCCGTAAATAATCGAATGGATAATGTCGTCGCCCCCAGACCGCTGTAGACCGGTCTCAAGTGCAGTAGTCGTTTCATTATCTTTTTGTCATTGATTGGAGTTTTTTTTCTAAGGAGGTCCAAGGTGGTTGGTTTTCGGTTTTTGATGACTTTGGGAGGGGGCGCTGCAGGAAAGCTTTTTGAGGTTTCCAGGCAGGTTAATCCGAGCCCAGCAAGGTCCCAAAGTGGCTCCCAAATTCTATCATTCAACATGGGCTACACGCAATTTTAGGCCTGAACCCTGAAAGGTCAGATTTCGAAACACGTTAAAGCACTGAAGGCTCTAGGGCTAATCTTAGTCGCTCTCACTAGTGCTTTGAGCGGTTGATATTTATCCTATTTGTGGCATTTCTTTTCCACCAATAGAACCGTTCTCTTGCCCGTCAATAATTTTCACCCGATGGAGATGGCATTTCTAAGGCAGTAACACACACACACAAACACATATTCAATTCAATGGCCGATTGAAAAGCGGCAACTGCGCATCGCGCATTCAATGGACGAAGAGGCGGCCACGGGCAACGGCAGCAGCGCTCAATGGGCGCAATGAAGAAGATTGGCAACGGTGCGGTAGCACACCACACACCATACAGCACTCACGATGGAGCCAAAGAAGCAGCGGCGCATGAAAAGCGGCAACAGCGCATGAGCCATAGACCACATGTTTTTCAGTGCTGCAACATTTTTGCAACCGTATTTTGTTTTTAATGAAAGCAATTAAACTGCAGAGCCGCAAATAAATAAAACAAAGAGAGGCAGTGAGAGAGAGAGAGGGGGAGAGGGGGAGAGGAGCAGGGGACAAAAACACGCAACACAAGTGGCAACACAAAAGGCAACAGCAAATAGTAAATTAAATTCTCACTATGAAAATTAAACAGAAATTGAATTAAATTTAAGCGAAAAACACACATGAAACACACACAAGGAGATAGAGAGTGAGTGAGAAAGAGAGACAGAAAGGGAGAGAACGAACCAAACCGAAAATTAAGCACGAAATTCCACAAACAAGCAAAAAGCAAAAGAAATAAAAGCTAAAAGTAGAAGAATCAGCAAAAGCAAAGAAGAAGAGATAGCACCAGAGGAAACGTACACTGAAAAGTGCTGTGTCGAAGAGGGAGAGGGAGGGAAGAAGGAGATGGAGTGGAAAAAAGTCAGCCAAGCATGGCAGCGACGTTGGCAGAGAGAGCAGGCAATAAAAATACACAGAAGCAGCGGCGGTGGCTGCGGGCAGCAGCAGAAGCAGCAGCAGCAGACAGCACAAAGCAACGTTGCCCATTTTCAATACAAAGGCGAGAGCGAGAGCGAGAGCGAGAGAGAGGGAGAGAGCGATAGCAAAGAGCTGGCAAGCAAAAGCAAAGCAAATGGAGAAGAGGAGGGTACAACAAAACTTAAGCACGCGTAAGATTAAAGCAGCAGCAAAAATAAGCAGAGGCGCTGTTGCCAAACTTCACACAGAGCAAAAGGCAAAGCCAGAAACAGACCCAGCGCAAAACAAATTAATAAAAATAACAACACACACACACACACACACGAACACAACAATAAAAGGCAGCAGCGACAGCAGACGACGAAAAGAGGCTTACAAAAAAAAAAACTAAAAAAGAAACATGAAACAAGCAAAGCACAGGGACAGCGCTGCCGGCGTCCACGGCATTATAATAATTATAATGCCATAAAAAAAAAACGGGAAAGAAGAATACAAGCTACTTCGCCACGATGATTCGATACCCTTGAAATCACAGTTCCGATGTGTTTGATAATTTTTGCTAAAAGTTTTAAGTTGAACTTTTGCAAAAGTTGCAAAAAATCATAAGTGGGCTGATTATTTGTGTCTTTTAATATGAAATGTAGAGTCTTGCAGCCATACATGTGGGCCGAACAAGCTGACTCCCCAACCTTTCTAATTTGAAAACTCCACCAAAGAAAAGTCATACCCCATTGCTGTCGCACTGGCAGGGTATCCAAAACAACAACCAACTCTGGAATCAGCAACAAAACATGAAGAAGCAGAAGACAAAAGCAATGCCCACAAAGCCTGAATGCCAGAGGGAGAGGGCAAGACGGACTGGCAGCGCACAAGAGGGAGATCGAGCGATAAAGACGGGGCACAAAAGCAGTAATGGAGTGCCATCGAGAGAGCGAGATGGAGAAGGACAAGCAGTGGCAGGGTGGAGGGAGACACTCACTGGTAAGGTTCAGGCAGAGAAAACAACAAAATCGGGAACTTCCACACACACACACACACCTATGCATATACATATATACACACCATTTATTATACATATATGAATGAATGTACAAAGACCGTCCAGGCAGTTGGGAGGCAACTGGCAGACATCGTTTCATATTTGGTCTCTGCTTCGCGCGTGTGTGTGTGTGTGTCGAGTGTGTGCGGGTGACGCAACAGCAAGTGCAAGAAAGCAGCAGCAGCAGCGCCGTTGGCAAATGAATACAGCACAGACACAAGAACACTCATGCACACTCATACTCGCTGGCCATACATGTATGGTTGGATTGGACGCAGACACAAAACTGGCAACGTCATAAAACGAAACGAACAACAAAAAAGCGACAGAACGAATGACTGAACGACCGGACGACATACAACGTGTCTAAAACGAGCGACAGAACAACCGACCGTGCGACCGACCGACCGAACGTACGACGTAAATCGTGTCTGACAGGACAGACTGACGTTCGGTCGGTCGCGCCAACGCGCATAGTGACGTGCACACAAAATTCCCCAGCCAGGCCAGAGCGAGATAGATAGGGTCATTCATGCGCCAGTGTGTGTGTGTGTGTGCCGTGCCTTGTGTATGCGAGAGTACGGCAGAAAGCAAAAAGCAATAAAACACGGCGCGCAAGGTGAAATACGTACAAGATGAAAAAAAAATCCCAAAATATTTAAAAGGTAGAAGAAAAAGGAGAACAGCAGCGCAGGACGGCATGAAAGGGGTGGGCTGGGCACAGTATGGGTGCAGAAGAAGCAGCAACAACATTGTGGGAGCGGTTGAGTGGGAGGAGAGTGCTGTGCAGCAGAGGCAGAGGAGAGGTTATTGTAGTGTAGAATGAGAGACCTATAGATTAAACGGGAGGAAGAGCTGACACGTAATGCACAGGAGTGGGAAAAAGCGAGAGGCACAGATATAATAATAATAATAATTGTGGAGCATAAAATACACACACACACACACACACACACACACACACACACACACACACACA